GTGAGGGCGGGCAATTCAAACCCGAAAGGGCGGGAAGGCGGTGCTTGGGGTTGGCGGGCGGGGTAACGCGCTGCCGCCAAAAAAACCGCCGCCGCGAGGGGGCGGAGCTTCGCGGCGGGGCCCCGCCTCTGCCCACGATCCGGGCGCACGGGACTCGCGCCGCTGCCGCCCACGAGTTCCCGGGGTTGAGCGCGATCCTCACGTCTCCCGCCCTCGACGGCTGCCATGGCAACGGCGCTCGGGCCCCGCCTCCGGAGGGGTTTGTTTGCACCAGCTGCAGCTGTTGCTTCTGCCTGGTGCGGTGGCGCGGGCTGCGCTGCTCTGCGCTCCTCGCTCCAGCTTAGCGCGCGCTTCCCCCGGGCCACTTGGCGGAGACTCCGGGAAGGCTGGGACTCCCGACGTTCTGCGAGCTTTGGGCTGGATCAGGCGTGATGCTTACACAAATAAGCACTTCCACAGTTTCTAAGCTCTTCGGGTATTTGCATAGGAGGTGGGAGTGCTAAACACTGATGATTTGTATGTCCTACAGAAGTTTTGTGCAAGACTTCCTTTTAGTTTTTTTCCTTTGGACTGTGTTAAGCTTAGTGAATCATTAAAAATTGCCTCGGGGGCTGCAGGTATAGTTTTTGTTTGTTTTTTTGTAGGCTGAAGGGGATGCTAAAGGAGATAAAGCCAAGGTGAAGGACGAAGTAAGTCTTGTTTATTCTCTTCTTTTGGAGCCATACAGTTTTGGGCTCCTCTGGTGGTAATTAACCATACCCCTATCCCTGAATTTGCCGGAGTAAGCTCTGTTCAGTTCCTATAGTCTAAAACAGATTGGCACTAAGATTTGTTTTTCTTCAGTGGTTTGGCTATTTTATTTCTAATTTTCTCATTTTTTTAAATAGCCACAGAGAAGATCCGCCAGGTTATCGGCTGTAAGTATACCTGCTTTAAATTTTCACATATATTCCTGAAACTAAGAATTGGAAAAGAATCACCTCTGCTTCCCATGCGTGGTCAGTGGCTGGTTTTAATGAGCTGCCCCACTGTGGACTCTCACCCACTTGAGATTTGCTGGTTGTGAAATTCTCACGGCTTGTAGCCAAAGTGGAACACTTCTGAGTGTTACTTGAGTTGGTTTCTAAAGGTAGAAAATTTTAATGGGAAGTCAGCCAAAGTAGGGAAAATGTCTATGTTGGTGGTACTGTGATTTGTTTGTAGGTTTTCTTTGGCCCGTCGTACTAATGTTGTCTTCCTCTCTCCTCCAAATAAAAGAAACCTGCTCCTCCAAAGCCAGAGCCCAAGCCTAAAAAGGCCCCTGCAAAGGTGAGTGGGACTGGGAGGCAAGGTGTTTCTAGGAGTCACATAGGCTGAGCGGGATTTCATATGCTTCCAGGAGATCTGCTATGTAACAGCTTCATCTTTTGGCACAAAGTTGAGATATGACAAAGTTAATAGGACTGGGCCTTATAATTATGCCCTAATTGGTCATTTTCACAGAATGAAGACTGTCCTTCAGTGTCTTAATGCAGCATAAAGGTGACTCCATTGATGGGTATTCTAAATTGTTTGGGTGGCTTGCCTTATCCCTGAGATTTGTATATCAAGAACTCTATCGTCAGTTTAGAGAAAATTGTACTTCTTGGGTATTAAACATCCAAGTTTTAAGGTGTCTTCTATTATTTACACTCCAATAAAAAATTTTACATACTGACAACCACAGCAAATTATAGATCACTTGGCTTAGTTTTAATCAGTGGGAGAGGGTTTATAGTTCGTGTGTGTGTTATCATCTTTAATAAACAATCCTGCCTTGTTTAGAATTTAGTAGACCACACCCTGGTAATACAAAATTAAGAGAAACAACTCTTTTTCTTTCTCCTGCCTTTTAGAAGGGAGAGAAGGTACCCAAAGGGAAAAAGGGGAAAACTGATGCTGGCAAGGATGGGAATAACCCTGCAGAAAATGGA